TTAGGAATTCTTTTCCCTTATTTTTTCATTTTATCAAACAACTTTAATGATTAGTAAACGAGCACCCATGTAATTAAATATCCTTATTTTTCAAATATCCCCACTTTAACTACAACTACATTAGATAGGTTCAATTTAAAAATATTGAAAGTCTATTAAAGTTTATTTTACACATTCGAAAACCAACACAAACGGCTTTTTTATTTATGTATGGTTTGCACTTTTTTAAATAGTTTAAGTAATGTTTTAAGTCTAAACACCATTGTGATCAGACTTTCCTTAATTTCGATATTTATTGTTATACAATTGGACAAGTTTAACCGTCGATTGACTCGTTTATTTCCAGAATTGGTTGAAATATGAGCTGCAAAAAAAGGAGAACACGTCAAAATAAAATACTAGCTTTCAACTTAAATAACAGATATTGAAAAGTATATGATTGCACTTATTCAAACTTCAACTATTTTCCTAATAGATCACCTGTAGTTTCATGGACATCCGAGCAAAAGAGACGTCTATTTTAAGCTTCGAAGGTATCCTCGAACCATTGGAAACAGAGGGTGAACATGAAATATTGGCTTGTATCGATTAAAACATTTCTTTTTCGCTTTCGGGTTAAAACAAACCTGATTAGTTAAGTTTGGCCTACTTAGACAACACGGTGGGTTTTTTTTTTTAATCTTCAGTTTATTGACTTCGAAATAATTCTGAACGGGGGAATAAAATCGCTTATAAAACCAGTGTCCGGATAGTGTTTCTTCCGCATAGATAAGTCGAAAAGTACGAGGAAAAAAATTGTTAACTCAATATTACACTCTGAGTTAGTGATTGGACGGAAAGTTGGTCAACTCGAGTTTGGTATAAGAAACGCGTTTTGACGGTAAAGTTCCGCAGGTGATAAATTTCGGTTTCGGACAATTCGACCAAAGTTTCCGAGTGGTGATCAACTGTCCCGGTGATAACCCCCCCTCATGTGTGTGTGGTACCTCATGTGTACATCTCATAGTTTAAAAAATATTGGATCGCTATTTCTGAACTCGATAAATTGATTTCGCGCAATGGTAAAATTTAATTTCAATTTTGACTATTAAGAGCCGGCACGCACTACTTTCGTGCTATACTGAAAAATATATTCATATCACTATGAACGTTTGATAAGATTCTGGATTAAAAATAGAATTTGTTAGAGACACAAACATAAAAAGAGAGAGAAAGAGAAACGCTAAGATTTAGATATTTTATAAATATGTTTTACACACAATCAATTGATAAGTGGTGTCGCATCAATTTTTCTGAGAGGCATTTTTTCCTTCACGCTGTTCGGAGTCACCTTCATTTCGTTGAAAAGCGCGCGAAAAGAGAAATAGTGAGAAATACAGAAAGATCGAAAAAATACATCAGTTAGAAAATGAATAGAGAGATTAATGAATAGATAATTGATAGGTAGATTGGAATATTTAATAAGTGTGGAGTGACAAAAACAAAGGTAGAATGTATGCGTGAAAGAATGAGTGAGATATGTTAGCAGAATGTGAATCAGTGTAAAAGAAAAAGAGAAAAGTGAAAACGCTTAAATTTATAGTGTTTTTATATTTGTTTTAAACTAGATCTATTGATCAGGGATATCCTACCGATTTACCGATAAGCATTTATTTCTCGAAACAAGCAATATTGGGGTCAACATTTAAGGTTGTTTTTTGAGTGTTTGCATGAAGAAAGAGAAAGAGGTAGAATGAGAAAGGGAGAAAAGAGAGAGAAATAAAAACCATAAAGGAAGAAACAAGCAGTCATAGGTAGACAGCAATAGTTAAGAATAAAGAAGTGTCAAAGAGAAGGATGCAGTGGATGAAAGAGTGAAATAAAGAGTGAGATAGATTAAAATATAGAGAGTGAGTGAATGAGATAAAGAAAGAGAGATAGAGAATAAAAGTGAAAGAAGAGAAGGATTTTCAACCTTTGGAGAAAAAAGAAGAGAATCGAAGATACATAGGTTGATAGATTGGGATATGCAATAAGTAAGAAGTGACGAATGGATGAAAATAAGAAAAGGTGAGATAGATTTAAAAAGAGAGAGTGAGCGAATGAATTAGAGAGGCAGAGAGAGAGAGAGAGAGAAAGAGTGAGTGAAAAAAGAAGCATTTTCATCTTTCGAAAAAAGAAAAAGAAACAAGCAGACATGGTTGATCGATTGGGATATGCAATAAGTAAGAAGTGACAAAAAGACAAATGCAATTGATGAGAAAAAAGTAAGGGTGAGATAGATTTAAAAAGAAAGAGTGAGCGAATGAATTTTAGAGAGGCAGAGAGAGAGAGAGAGAGAGAGAGAGAGAGAGAGAGAGAGAGAGAGAGAAAGAGAAGGATTTTCATTCTTTGAAAAAAAAAAAGGAAGAGAAAAAAGGTTGATAGATTGGGATATACAGTAGGTAAGTGAAGAATGACAAAGAAAAAAAGAAAAGAAAGAGTGAATGAATGAGAGCAGGGAGAGAGTGTGAGAGAGGGGCTTATAAAAACAAGAGATGGAGAAAAAGAAAAGGCAGAGAGAGAGAGAGAGAGACAGACAGACAGACAGACAGACAGACAGAGACAGAGAGAGAGAGAGAGAGAGAGAGAGAATATACTACTTTTGTATTATATAGGTTTATAATTATAATACTATAATATTACAATTATATTAATATTTAGGTACCTTAGGTTAATCTAATCCTATCCATTTTTTTTTTTCAGACCGTACTCCTACCTAAAGATATTTATTTTTGTCTGGTCCTTTAATGATTACAGATCGGTCGCACCCATGATTCACGATAATTGGTTCAGAATTTTCAAACTAAACCCAAATAAAATTTCTATCGTTGTTCCTAAATCTAAAAATGATTTATCAGGTTTTCATTGTTTTTACTGTTTTATGTATTTTATAAAATGTATACATTCGGGCGCTCGCGCATTTCCCTTACAAGGGTCTGGTTTGCTGCGCAATATATGTAACTTTGACATCGTCTCCTTAGACTAGCAGGCGAAATGCTCAATTTTAAAATATTTAATATGACAAATAATAAAGAAAAATTTCAAATGCATTTAAACAATCGATGTTGTGTAAAAATAATAATTTATTGAGCAAAGATGAAGAATTAATTATTCTATACAATTTGTTAAGTGGTAAATACCACGCATAATTCATTTCTTTAACACAATTATAATTTCTTGAAAGATTTAATAAAAGCCGAATGTTCATTATATATTTAAATTGTCATTATTTGGTGTTTTAGGCATTTATAAATTTATTTTGAACTGTAGCATTGTTTTGGAAACATTTTGATTCGGCATTAATTACTGGTTGGAAAATAAATATGCAGGATTAAACTGTTAAAGTGTGATCGGTAAGGCAAGAAAATACATTGTTAATTCATAAAAATTGATAATTGAAAAATTTTGACTCGTTAAAACCAGTAAACAGTTGTCAATAGATAGTTTACATTCAAATAACTTATTTTTAAAAGTGTTTTCAAAGTGTAAAATTGTCTATTCTTTTTGAACGCAAACAAAACAGTGAAAGGGTAATTAAAATAAAGTTATTATTTTAAAGGCCGAACTACGAGTGCTACTGCATCAGGGGAGTTGTTTTGGTCGAAAAAAATTTCTTTGTTAGTTTTCTCAGTCCTAAAACTTGTCTAATATCAATAAGAAAAAGGAGTTTTTTTAATCTACGTTTGTTAACCAAAGGAAAACTAACGCATAAACAATAATGTTTCCTCCCGTATTAATTAATTTAAAGTAGTAAAGAGGTTTTCATGTTTTCATTAGGTACTTTAGACGAAATTTAAAAAAACCATGATCAATTTCTTCTTAAAATTGATTAATACGTTTTAAAACAAGAAAATAAAATTTATATATAGTTATGTGTAGTTATACTATAAAATTTTATAACTGAACTCGCAAGTTCATGACCTTCATACTGGTTAATGTTTGTATACTGTTTAATTGAAAGTGAATTGAATGCACGGCTAATATTGAAAAATAACGCCATTTAAAAAAATTAAATAAGAACTAGATACAAGTTAATATAAAAAAATTACTTGAATATACAAAAATAAAATTATTGATAATATTACGTTCTAAAATATTATTGTAATTGTGTAATTTTGAAATCAGTTTGTGCGTTTTAACCGTCGATGTATTCTAAGTTTTAATTGAGTTTGATTATTTGTAAAATTTGTACAAATAAAACATACTATAGAAATCTATTCGAGAAGATTAGGTTAATCATGATAATAACGTGTAATAATCATCACCATGATTGTCTCGTAGTAAAGTGATATTTGACTTCATAAATTTATTTATCTATATTCAAAGTTTATGTTTGTTCGCGATTGATTATTGATGAACTTTATTGTAATTAGTTTGTGATTTTAATCACCTCATTCTTTTGAGTTATTAAAATGTACAAAAAGTCACTTTTTTAATGTCTGTTGAAAGTTAAACTTCAGCTAACACGTTAATTTATAATTTAATAAGAAAGGTTAATTGTTTATTAATTTTGTTCTTTAATTATTATTGATTGTATTATTTCATTTGTTTATGTTGTTTTTATATTGACGTAAAAAACCGAGCGGTGTTTCAGTATTTTGTTTTATTGAACAAAATTTTAATATAAAACTTATTACACATATTAATAAATATTCAATTATTTAAGTGTTGATTATAGTTTGACGATGAAAAATTTAATAGAGAAAAATATTTATAAGAGCCATAACTTTTTCGATTTTATTCTCTTTGTCTTGTTTATTTAAAGAAAGTAAGGGCAAAAAGGACTTTCTATGTAAGAAGGACGTGTGAGCCTAATCCAGGACATCAGGGGTGTCAGGTCGGAGGTTAAACTCGGGAAGTTAAACCACGTGGGCCTACGCAGCGATGTTCACCTTGACAACTCCACATACTATTTACATTTCATGTGTCATCCGTATTAATGTATTTTTCTCAAAACTAAATTTTCCAAGACTACTCACTGTGCGTATCAAATTTCCTGATGATAGTTTCGATGATAGTTGTCCTCGGGGCGACATGGCCCCTCCTCACTGGCATTTTTGCACACACACTCACTCACTTTCACACACTCACACTCGCTCACGACACTGAGAGAGGAGGGAGAGGCTCGAGGAATTGTTTTATGCCCTGGTATCACATGACCGCCTCGCTCGTCTCAAACCAGCTCACGACAGTCACTCGGCTAGCCACATACTGACTGTTCAGCGGCCTGCTCACCCTCTCCGCACACGCGCACACAGGCACATTGCATTAAAATCAAACCCGTCTACCCATAAACAAAACTTGTGCTGGCGACCCTTTCGATTGTAATACCCTTCTTAGTTTTACTTTCTTCTTTTTCGAGTTTGTTCAGCACAGTCTTGGAATTGTCGATATTAAAAAAATTGGACTATCGATTTAGTTATAGTCAATAAGCAAAAGCAAATTATTGAATAATAAATTTATTCTTAAATACTTTTAGAAAAAATCAATAAAGTCTAGGGTCATCATCGTAGAACACGAACAATGAAACTTCCTTATCATCGAATCTACAGTTTTACAATTTACTTTGTACACAAATAGCAATTTTTTGTGTACTTTAAACATGAATGAAAGTTCGTTCTTCGAGTTGCTGCACATATCATCAAATAAATTTTATATTATCTATGTAAAATTAGTAAACAGTTATGATATCATGGCACTTACAACATGAGAACATTCGGAACTTCCTCATAATCCAATTGATCATTATAAAAATACACTATGCAACAAAAGGGTTATTTTAAACTCCTTAGTTTTATTTTCTTCTTTTTCGAGTTTGTTCATCACCGTCTTGGAATTAGAAAATTTGTCTATCGATTTAGTTATAGTCAATAAGCAAAAGCAAATTATTGAATAATAAATTTATTCTTAAATACTTTTAGAAAAAATCAATAAAGTCTAGTGTCATCATCGTAGAACACGAACAATGAAATTTCCTTATCATCAAATTTATAGTTTTAAAATTTGCTATGTACACAACTAACAATTTTTTGTGTACTTTATCCATGAATGAAAGTTCGTTCTTCGAATTGCTGCACATATCATCAAATAAATTTTATATTATCATTGTAAAAGTAGTAAACTTTCATGATATCATGGGACTTATACTTCCTCATAATTCAATCGATCATTATAAAAATATACAGTGCAAATAAACGGTAATTTTAAACTTATTAGTTTTAGTTGGATCGTTGTTTTGTATGTTCGTTGTTGACATTTTATCAAAGTAAATTTATAATTATTTATTATCCATATAAAATCAATAAATTCTAATGATATCACGATCAAAGAGATTTTGATTTTAAAAAATCGTCGTACTTGCATAGTTCCTCTTTTATGTCTCTTATTTCTTGTAAGGGAATTCCAAGTCATTCTGCTGCCTAGGTCCTAACTATCGGACTCGAGTGTAAGTCAGTAGCTCCTTGTTGTCGATGTTGTCAACACTGTTTTCTCAAGGTAAATGTAAACTGTGCACTTTTTCTCGTTTAGCCTTGTCCTCCACTTTTGCACATCTTTGATAAAATCAGTGTTCTTGGATGATGGAGGTTGTTTGGATAGAATTCGGGTTAAAAGATAGAATGGCGCGTTACCATTTTCATAGGTTGTAATGATGGAGTTTGGATTTATAAGAAAGTAAGCAACGTAGATGGTATATAGGTTGAGACCAAGAATGCTCCCTTGCGGGACGCCGCGCCAGCTCCTATTGATCTGATATCTCAGTATTTCTTGCTGCATCTCACTTTTAAGCGGTTGTCAGTTATACAGGATTCCAGGATATGGTAATAAGTAGTGGATAGGAGGTGTTTAAGTTTATAAAGGATACCTGGGTGCCAGGTCCTATCAAAAGGCCGGATCACAGCCAAAAAGGCATCTAAACTAAACTATCTTCAGAAAAGAAGAAACATCGTGTAATGATGGGGACGAAAGCCGAAACGGTGTGATTTTATGTAAATTTAGGATCTTTTCATGATTTTGGTCACAAGAAGAAGGTTAATGTATCTTTATGAGGATGTATGGTTGAGTATATAACACATAATAAAATTAATTATATATTACATATATAGAATCTTATTTAGATATCTTATTATCATGTATAGAATACCATTTTTTAATATTTTATATCTCTATTGAGCCTGATAAGTAATTAATTTGTTTCATATATGAGAGCTTGAGATAACTAAGTACCTTTCGGATGTCTCGTGAACGAGGGACGAGAATCACTTTACTAATACCTTTTTCATATTATTCTCCATTAAAAAGCCATGGTTATGCCGAGATTCGAACCGCTATGTAGCAAATACGAATTGGGCGCAAACTGCCTGGTTTTTAAGGTAGATATCCTGATAACACAAAACTGCTAGAATCTGTCAATACGCTTCATATCAAATAAGCTTCAAATTTTTATAATTGTGATCTTAAAAAAAATATAATGAGAATCGAGTACAAGTTTTGAATATTTCGTAATGTATAAATAATCTTCTAATAAATTGATGTTTACATTTTCTCTATTATTAATTACGAATATTTATTTACTCTATATTATAGGTGTGGCGATTTATTGTTTGATTTTCTAAAAAAGGTTATTCTTTTTGACGTAATATAAAGAGGATTACAATTGAATGTGCCCGTAATTGTTGTGTACGACAAAGAAGAATTTTTAAATTTGGCCCAAAAATAATCCAGGTCACACCATCCGATAGATATGTAGACCGCTTATCAAAGATAAGTGTAGTTGACAATTTTAGAATAGTTGGGCGTCATTGCTCGTTTAGCGACAAAAATAATAATAATATATAAAGAGACCGCATTTCTGTTCGTGATTTGTATTCATAGCTGTAAGATAATTATCTATTTCTTAGAAGATTAGAGGAAGACGATGATAAATGGATTCTGTAAGACAACCGTTTGTTGTGACATTGAGAATAGAAATGGAGATACAAATCCTCCTTGACAACAGGCTCATTTATTTGGCAATGCTGTAAAGATTGTGTTGGGCTAGTTCGTCTTACTTGTAACCCGTTATTTGCCAAACAAGCTTCTCATATTGACAAATTTTCTGTCATTGAAATATTTTGTATAAAAAAATGTGTAAACCATAAGTTAAAAAGGTGTCATGAAACTACTGACAATGCTTTCATACATAATTTATAAACACTAATTTCAACATGTTTACTGTCACTACTTTATTGCTTTTTCATATGCTTATTCGGTCATTGATTAATCTTTTTGATTTTTGATCAAGATTTATTTAACTAGAAAAATAAACAAGCATAAAACTAACTCTGCCTTCAGATCTGAATAATGCATAACTATATGTGAACCAATATAAACTTCCAACCTTTAGATATAGGGCAGATGTCTACTTCTAGGTTATTAAAAATTTTAAAATGATTGAATTTAGTAAAATAAGGCGGTCGTTTTTTCACAGCCTGTACATATCATTGAGCCTTCATTGATCAGCAAAGACCCTCAGGAAATTTAGCAGGGTGAGGCGAGATGAGTAATAAAATTTCCAGTACAAAGGCGATATAATATCCGCCTAGTTAAATCTGAGTTTGAATACAGAAATAAAGTTTTAAAACCAAGATCATTAAGACAATTTTTCGAAAATCATACCCTTATTTATATTACAGTACTCTTTATTTTATTATGCCAGGAGATTAAAGTAATTTTCTTTGTGATAATTACGCTGGATCAATAGATAAGTAACAACTTTCATACATAGTTTAAAAATTATCTTCTTTATATAACTTATCATAATTTTAAAAGGGCTTTTGTGTATAAAAGTAGCCAACATACAAAAAAGAAACTTCTAAAATGTAATAAACACGTCATTGTTCGCTATGATTTTCTTCTATACGGTCCTCCTTAAGTTTCCAGGCAAAAGTTAAGGTTAAAGCAGTCGACCTTGTTATGACCTTACGCACCGCGACAACCTTGTCTATTGTGCAATCTCCATTTCTATCTAGATATCTTTGTTAAGGCTGTTTTTTGTGTCTGGCGTTCAGAGAAAGGTTGCTCAATGTAGGGTGTCATTCCATGTAAGGAGTGAGGAGGAATGCGGTCCGATTGGGCAGGGAATCTTTGGTTCCCCTATTCCGATTTTTAGAGGAAATTGGTTTAGTCCTTTATATATAGATTTTTTGTTGCAGATAATTATTGTAATATGCCAAGTTTGGGGGTTTAACTGTTTCGTGAGAATGTATTTATATAAGTGAATGAGAGCGTCGAAGGCGGAATATCAAGTGGTCCTCAATTAGCCTAGGTATTGTACGTATGTTTGTTTATACGTGTAAAGTGATGTAGGAATATCTACTAGACTATCACCCTAGTTGAGTAAAATGTGTGTATTTAAGAATGGGCGAGAGAGTGAGCGGGTTTAGGTTAAAACTGCATGCGTTGGGGGCTGAAATAATCTTGTTGTCGATAACCCCTTGAGTCTAACTTCGGCGGTGGTACGGATAAGACGCTTAACCCCGGACTGCCAACACCCGGGGTGGGTGATTCTCGGCACAAGTGCATATATGGGCAGAATTGAGCCTATTTAAATCTATCAATCTTAAGGCTTTATACAAGACCTGTTAGAGGCACTGTGCGTTTCCTTAAGACCTGGACTCTTCCTCTTTTACGAATAGGATCTCAACCTGCATAATCCTTTGCACCACCTTCCGTTGTTTATTTATTATTTATGCTCATTTTTCCTTGGCACATGCTTGTTTCTGCTATCCGAGTATAATGCCTCTGAAGTCTGCAGTGTTCAGTTAGCATTCCTATTTCCTAGCACATCCTAGTGTTAGAGATCTGCCATTAGTTACTTCGACGCTCCTTTGATGAACTTTTTCGCATACCTCATCCCAACATATATAATCCCATTATTTTTGAATGCGTGATGGAACTACGTTTGTGGCAATTTGGTAGGCCGAAAAAGGGTTCAGGGAGGATAAGCGTCCAGAAACTTTTCTTCATCAATTTATCGGCTTCCTCGTTGCCCCTCTGCCCTGTACTCAAACAAGGACAATTTAGTTGTTCCCAATGTCTGGCCGGCTTTGATGCAAACCCAAACGGCTCTGGACTTTACTACCGATAACTTAGTCGCCTTTAATGCTCTCTGGCTGTCCGAGTAAATGGCGTTTCTTTTGTCGGTAAAATCCTGCCCTTTGATCTCCCTAGCACAGGCTCTTCGCCTGAAAGTCAGTGACATATTTCCCAAAGGTTATATGAATTCTAGTTCTTGGTTTATTTCCACAGATACGAGTACATGGGAGATTGGATCGAAATTCCACATCCTTTTTTAAGCTTTTTAAAAAGATAATTCCTACTCACAGTTTGTGATTTTCACGATCTAGATTTCAAGCTTGTAGCTCATCATCAGGTTGGAGAAATTTACAACCACGTCTCCCGACATTAATTGTAAGAGTTATTAGTAGTTACAGGTATTGTAAGAGTAAGAATTAGTTAAATCTCTTAAAATTCATGACGAGAAACCTGGTTGAAAATTACTTCATTTGATGATGAGCTATAAGCTTGAAATCCGGATATTAGAAACAACAAACTAGTAAGAACTATCTTTTTAAAAACATTAAAAAGATTAAAGAACATACTCTACCATTTATCATTTCTTTTGTTAAGTTTCGTCTTCAAACTACTTCAGTTTTTTTTTTGTTTTTTTGTTTTTTTTAAATTGGTGCTAAATGAAGACGAACGTTCCTCTGAAGTATGTAAACAATGTAATTAAAACAAGTGGAAAACTTAGGGCTGATTTACGAAAAATGGATATTTGACCGAAATATATAATTCGATGAAAAGTAAGATCTTAAAGTTGGAATCGGAAACGAAAGATAAAGTTCGAGAACAGGCAATTCGGTCTACTACATATCGCGATGTTTTGAACAACAGTGCATTGAAGATGAGTCCCATTGAACAAATTTTTAAAGTGGTTATCAAACCAATGAAAGAAAATGCTACTTCTGATGATACATCGTAAATTCTTAAAACCAAATTAAATCCAGGCAAATTAAAATTGGAATCAGTAAAATGGACTGCCTGTAGCTTTAACTACACAAATATGTGCACAAATTACAAGAACAAATTAGGTTTAATCACTCACGATTTCATTAGAACAAGAAAACCTAAAGGACTACATATTATTTGTTTTACAGTTCGAAACAACACTAGATATTTAAATTAGCTATTTAGGAGGTCCAATAGCTTCTGTGTAGTGAATTGGTAGCGTTGTAGGGTGGCGCTACATACCCGCATACCTGATGGAGGGCTGCTGGTTCAAAATTGCAGACAAAAGGATAATGAAGTTCTGTGCAAAGAAATTAACAAACACTACAATGATTTATCTTAAAGCTGAAATAGGGGAAAAAATTGCATCGTCGAATGATAGTGTACTACACCCCGAAAGGTGTAAATAAAGAAAACTTCAGCAAAATATTAAAAAGTCAAAACCCTGAGTTGTTTACATCTGAGAGATGAAAAGCACATCAAGTAAATAAAAAGCAGGAGAAATATTGTAATTGAAGTCGATCCTACCTTAAGAAGAAATCTCCTGGTGGTGAAAATTAACCTATCCAAATCCAGTTGTCGAGCTTTGTAATATATATTATATTAAATTTAACATTTATATTAAACGGTGCTACCGTTGTAATCGGTTCTGTCACTAGAGCCACGATTGCAAAAATGAAACCACTTGTGCTAAATGTTCACTCATTTTTTTTTTTTAGGTATATTTATTCTTAAACATTCTTTTAATCTATTTTCGACTTTACATATTGTTTAATATTTAAATAATTTTTCCTTTTATTGGATTCGGATTTATATAGGCACAAATCATCAAATATCAATGGACATGTGCCGAGTTGAGCTTATTAGTTTCTCGTAGACCCCGGCAATGCCAGCTTTTGCCTAACCATCCCTCGGCTCAGGTGCTCTGGGAGGAAAGCTAAACTATTGTAATACATCTATGAATTCTTTGGAGAATATCTTAGTTATTCCGGACACAAAGTTAATTTCTTTCGTATGTATAAAACTGGTTCAAGTTTAATATATGGAAAATATAAGAATTGTTTCCATGAAAAAAAAATCACATCCATTAAATCACTATATCTAATATTTACACCGATCAATATTGAGGTCATAATTAAACCGCAAATGTACAGCCATTGATTAATCAATAAAGTAAATTGGAATACAAATTCTGCCAATCGTATTGACCCACTTTCCAGCTACTAATGTCTGGAAATATGTTTATTTCTTAAAACTTCTCGCAAGAAATATAAAGACATTCCCCATGATGTTTTACTAATTCAAAATTATTATTTGCAGCATTTAATTTCTTGTAGTTACATGGTTTTCCTAAAACTTACAACGTATAAGTATAAAGAGTTATATTTAGGTAACAATTTGTCTATACCCCAAGCCTTTAATTATATTCCACAGTAATATCTTTGTTTTTAATGGCATTACAATATAATACTATTATATTAATGTATAGAACCAATTCTCTTTTAACAATAAAAATGTTTTTAAGGACATACCTACACAGAAAATTGCATGAAATTTACTACCTACCTTTTATTAAAAAATAAATTTTTTCTTGTCTATATAATTTTGCAAATTTTATCTTTGATTGATTAAGAAAACCACCAAATTTATACTTTTTATTATAAACTATCATTAATTGTAATTATGCACGTTTTAACAATAATTAGAGTATAAACCATTTTTTATATAATTTTGTCCCCTAATTTTTTTACCTTCGTTGGCAAGTACCAAGTTACAGTATATTGTCCTAGGCATTTCCCTTCACAAGTGTATAAATAAATAAATTCTTAAGTTGGGAATCCAGCTTCAGATTACTTTCTTTGATATTGCCTATGTAAGTCCCATAGGGGTTACCTGGGGGGGGGAAAAACGAGCTTTACCCTCATCACCCTTGGCCTTATGTCACTCAAATGTCTGCAACAACCGCCTGTTACTCTACTGTGCAAAAAAAAAAAAAAAAAATATGGAACAGCTTATCGATTCTTTGCTCTCACTCTTTTTTACTGTAATTAATTGAAACAATTTAACAAGTCTGACATTAGTTGAATGATTTATAACCGACATGTTGCAAGAACCAAGAACAAAGAATAATTAATTGAATTTTAATTACTATCCTAGCTATCAAAGCTTACATAAATAGATAATTAATGAATTCATGGAATTATTCCTGTTATAAAACTTATAGAACACCACCATCACAGGCTAACTGAACTTACTTTGTATGTTATTAAGGATCATCATACGTATTAAAATAGAAATACTAAATATAAATAATTGCTTCTTTCAATTAATTAATCTTTTTGTGTAAGGTTTTCATTGAAATGTAAAAGTTAGTGCCACAAGCAGGATTCGAATTTCGAACCCACAACCTTCAGCTGGGGGGGGGATTCATTTCAACCAAAAATGTATACGAAAGATTAATTAATTGAAAGAAGTAATTTGGTCAATAGTCCATTAAACATAATGGATTTAATAAATAATAGCAGTAAATTTGATATATTTGGGGTATAATTTTAATTGCTAGAAGCCTTTGTTAAAAAAATAAAACCTATTTAAAAAATCCAGGCAGATCTTGGTGATTATCTGATTTTATGAGTACAACTTTTTCCCAACCATGAATATAAACGAAAATTATTTGAATGAAAAATAGAAAAGCATTCTATGATTGCAATCTTTTCATGAATGCGTTTAAGAAAGGTGATATTTTTACTGAAATAAGGTGGAAAAATAGGTTTTATGCCATAATAATAATGGTAACTTAGAGTAGTTAGTAGCCATTTCTAAAGTCTATTGTTAATCTTGGGCTTGAAGTTTAACCTGTCTAAGTAGAAAATACGATTTTTAGGAAAGACCATAGGCTGTTGTCAAGAAAAAATAGAAGTTTGGCGATTGATAGTAGCCATAGGGATAATTGTAGTTGCAATTTTTTAAAAATTAGTGCTAGTGGTAGTCATTATAGTTTAAGTCAAAGCAATAGTTTGTATGAATTAGTCGATAACCTTAGTTAAGACGTAGCTTAGTGATTCTCCTATATAAAAATATGGCTCTGCATGTAGACCACTACTGAGATAAATACTCAACTGTCATAGAATTGAAATTACTGAAATTTGTTATGCCAAATCCTCCTCCTGAATCTACCACCACTACTATCTTCATCCAGGAGAGGCTCCAGTATCCACTCACACGAAAAGGAGCAATTAAAGCTCTGGGATGAACTTCAGGTGGACAAGGTTCTAGGCATTCCTGTTGATTCCACGATGGCAAAACATAGATTGGTTAAAAGAAATTCAAATTAAAATACCCAATAGAGCAGATTGGGAGAAATATCCCAGTTAATGCCGAGTATACATAATAAGTATAGTATACATAATCAGATAATATCTAGTATACATATGACTCTAAGTCTGTCTATGACTCAGGAAGTATCTATGGAAATAAACCAAGGGCTAGAATTCATGTAAGCCTTGGGCAATAGTCCACTGTCTTTCAGTCAGAGACACTGCCAGGGAGATCAAAAAGTTGTGTATTACCAACAAAGCATAGTTATCTACTTGGAAAGCCAGACAGCACCAAAGACAACTACCTCATCCGTAGTAACGTCAAGAACTGTTTGGGATTACATCAAGGCCTTGTCAAACATTGGGTACTACAGCAGAATTATCCTTGTTTGGGTACCAGGATGAACAGGACACATGCTAATTATAATTTCATCTAAGCAATGCTCAAACTAAGTATAACACTATAATTAAAATATCTATAGCATGTTCAAAAAAGATGTAAAGCAATAGGATTACAAAAAATATAAATATTCTGATTAGAAACTTTGCAGAAGTTTATAGTTTGTTTTAATTTAAAAATACAGTATCATATCTATAAATTAAATAACTTTTTATAACTCTTTCAATTCACAAAAATTGGCAAATACTGAGTGTAGTTTTTGTAGTTTCATTTGTCATTTAAATATGTGAATCAGAATAAATCAATACTCTATGAAATATTAAATTCTGTTGAAGTACAGTGATGCAAGTTACCTAAATAATTATTTTTTAGAAAAATCTTACAAAATCCATATTACATTTGAGAAATTAACATACTACTTAGATCTGACCACTGCTAGTGTACAGTGAAAAATCAAGATTTTGAATTTATAAATCTTTGTATAGCTGGCGCAAACAGATTTTTGTCCATCTTTTTAGGATCGTTAAAACCAGTCAGGTAGCTCACCACCATCCCAACGACAAGGGCTATGACCATCCCAATTAGAGTGTAATAAAGGTAGGAAATTTGTAATACCCACAGTGTATCTCTAATGTATCTAAAAATGAAACAGTATTTAGTTTTGTTTTTAATTTAATCAGACAGGGATAGTTCATACTTTGATGATTCTATCAGAACAGAATCTGCGACATCTCCTGCAGAACAACCATCAATAGATATTGGCTTTTTTTCATATACTATATGTCCTCTAGCTATTGCAGTTTGGGATGCGACACTTAAAATAGAGACTACGGTAAGCCCTGATATCCCTCCTGCTATTGCTCCCTATATTTATGAAAAAATAAATTAAGAATATGTATTATTAGTTAGTGTTAATTATTTTTTTATCACCTTTGAGTTGGCCCAGGGAAACAGCATTCCTAATGTGAACAGTCCCAAAAGTGGACCTGCTGTTATACTTGCTAAACTCTTTCCAGCCTGTTTACAATCAAAACATACAGTATTAATGTTAATTTTTTCATTAATCTACAAGAATCAATTTTTTGACAGTAATTTCTTTTTAATTAAGAATCATTTCAGTATAATTTTTTTTATAGTGGATTTTGATCCGTAAATAAATAAATAATATTGATTACAATATTGATATACTTGGCCACCAAAATCTAGCTCACTGATTTTGAAAATCCAATAATACATAATGAAAAGGAAATGATAGGGACAGATTTACAGAGAAACTTTGGCACATCAAAAAGCAACCTATCATTGATTCTCACAGATCAGAGTTGTAAAAGAATTAATACCACCTGGCTCACTATATACCAATTAACAACAATTCTGATAGAAATTTAATGGACTTCTCTAAATTAATAAATTATACTAAAGACAGCGATTATTGGAAGACCGCTTACTTGATGGGCAATATATTACAAGCATTTTCAGTGTTTCAGGACTAATGTAAAACAAGAGCATAAATAAATCATATATCAAAATTACTAAAATATAAAAAAAATCGAGATTGTTAAACCTTGGATTTCCGAGAAAATTCTATCACAAATAACAAGGGAAAATAACTTTACAGTTTTACAGAAAAAAAAGATTACAAAATATTTTTGCCCATAGCAATTTCCCAGATTTTGGGCTGAGATGAGGAGAGAATAGTACAAGAGAAAGATATTATTTTTAAAAAAAATTAAATTAAACTGATTTTTAAATATTTTTTTAAATTGTTTAAAGAATTAATTACAGTTTACACACTGCTGAAAAAAATAGGGTTAGTCTTCTTAAAAGTCTACCATCTGTGGGATATCTTATAAACGCCCTGTCTGCAATCCACCCCTTACAGACTCCTTCTGAAGACAAACCCTCATTTTTTCAGCAGTATACAGCTCAGAAGATGTTCGACTTAAGAACTAAATTCACACTCATATGTATAAGCCAATGCTGAAATCAGAGGGCCACATTTCTTTTTTTTTTGTTGTTGTTCTTGTTTGTCTTTGAAAAGGAAGAGATAGTACTTCAAAATGTAACTAGGTCTAGAACAGATTCAATAGCCAACATTAGAGCCAAGTGTACACAAAAATAAACCAAACCATTTTCTAACGAAGTATCTCTGGGACTTTTTAACCACTTCATACCTCTGATAGCCTCATACCTGGGCTGCATAGAACAAAGTTGTAAACCTGATTTTATCCTGAATTGTTCTCTTAAAGAAAACGGGTATTCTACTCAACCCAAATTTTTTCAGCTAAAATGTCAGTTTAAGGACATTAATAAGTTAACTCAGATGTCTGCATTATTCCTAAATACTTATAATTGTTAACTAAAATTATTTATGTACTTTTATAAAATAACACTTTTCTGCTAACTTCAATCTTCCACCTTTCCTAAAAATCATTATTTTTGATTTGTCCATAGTTAAGAATAAATGACACTGCTCATCTAACTTTTTCAAGATGTTGATTGCAAGCACATGGCCAAGTCAATCATTGACATATAATAGGGTTTATTGCGTCGTCAATACAGCAGGAAAACATATATCGGGTTCAAGATACACCCTTGCCTCAGTCCTCTAACCACTGTTGGAGGGGGGATGCAGAGGAATGTAACCTAATAATAACAATAATAATGAATTTGGTTGAAAACCCAAGTTGTTCAGCTTCTTAAATAAATAATAGAAAGAAACAATAAATTTTATTACACTTTTGCAAAAACTTAACATTTATTAAATTTATAAAAATGAAGATTATCTATTTTATTTTGAGTATCCCTGCTTAAAGCCTGCTTGAAAATCATATAATAAATATTTCCTGTTTTACATGGGATTACACCCCTGATCCACTTTTACAATTAACAACTGTTGGTCGATCACTACATCCTTACTGATTATCGAAATGTGTACAGAAAAAATAGATCTAAAAATGATTGATGGTATATGTGGCATTCATGTTCTGCTGCTACAACCATAGTGGAGCAATATTACATAATATGAATTGCTCACACATGTATTTTATTTTTAACTAGACCCTGAGGAATTGTTTGTATGAATATGTAAAAAAATGAGTATAGCAGGAAGATTTTCTTAAACGATAGTCATACCTGAATCAAAGTTCCAAGATGTTCCACCACAAACACCATTGCTACACAAAATGCGCCAAGACTGACTACAATTATTTTCATAATAAAGCTAGCTTTTCCTTCAGAAATTGGCTTTTTAACAGCAGGGCGAATGATATCTTGCAATATTACACCTGTCAATGAGTTCAACCCTGTTGACATCGTGCTGTAAATAAAATTTTCATTATTTGACCATGAACAAAACAATATTGGACACACTCTATCCAAACATATTATACTTTACGGCTAGACCTCAGAGCAGCGCTAAAAACTCCTGACAGAAAAACACCGGGTAGCCCAGGTATTTTACTTCCAACTTCCATAATAAAATAAGGGAGGATCTGGTCGGATTTACTGATTTTCTAGAATAGAAAGAGAAATTTAAAAACTCTCAGGCCATTAAATATGGATTTTTTAATCAATTTTTACTTTTGTTGTGAGTGGATCACAGTCATAGAAATATGCAGACACAACTAACCCAGTAAAGCAGCACATTGAAACCAAAAGTATTATCCCAATGGCCAAATTAAATATGGCTCTGCAAAATGTTGTGATTAAAATTAAAACATGTTTCATAAGTGAATATGATCTTACATGTTAGCCTTTTTTTGACTCGGCATAGCAAGACAACGTTGTACCATCGCTTGATTCACAGAGCAGGATGCTAACCAGTAAAAATAATTTCCAATTGAAAGTGTCCAAAAACTATGACGTACAGTTGGATCCAAATCAAAACTAAAAATAAATTATGAACTAAAAAATAAATATATACCGCCCACAATGGTGGTAGTTAATAAAGTGTAACAATTTTCTTCAGTAATATCAAAACATCCATTTATAAACATTTAATTGGTCAGTTTTTGTGATATTGAAATATCTGAAATACTAAGGTATGAATGTTAGGATGGTTGAAATTTTAATACATATAGTTTATATTCTTTACACAATAATTGAAATTGATTTTTTATAGTTTTACACATTTTTAAGTAATTCATATATCAAAATTTTAGTTTTGTTTCTAATTTAAATTACACACAAACTGCTTGTAAACATAAATCATCAACCAGTTATTTGTGTTTATTAGCTATCAAGGAAACTCTCACATATCAATAGCACTGTCAATAAGGCCCTCAGAGGATCTGACTCATAGAAGAAGGGCCATTGTCACCCAATTAAAAATGTCCAATGTGCCAATGTCCATATATGAATCCAGCATGCAGAGAAAGGTTGCTCAATTTGTCCCACTTAATTGAAGGGTGCATTTCTTGGCTCCTTATAGAGAGTGTGTAGTCACCCCACAAGAGAGTTGTGCTTGAGCACAGTGCAGAGTAATTTGGTTTACTGTTCCGATTTTTGGAGAAAACAGGTTTTTTATTGTATGTAGAACCAATGTATGTGTTGTTTTGTGTGATAGTGAATGTGCATAGTGAAAGGGTTGATGGCAGAATATCCCTCTAGAAAGTTATCTATGTATAAAGGGTGATGGGAGAATGAATATCAAGTACTCCACTACCCTAACCAAGTGAATGATATGTAAATAGGAAAGATGCATTACGAGTGAGTGAGAGTATGAATGGGTTTGGAACTAGAGATTGATTACGGGCTGAAATGACCAAGCTATTTATTGATAGCCCCAGAGTCCAACTTTGCTGGCTGAATGGATAAGGTCAAGGTCTGACCCAAGGTGGGTGAATCTTGAGGCCTGCTGGTAATTTATTGTAAGTTAAAAAGCTATTATTGCCAGTGGACTACAAGAATGATAGGTTCAACTCTGGTATTCAAGTGTATGTGTATACTTGTAAGTGCAGATTTGAGCTTATATAAATCAGTAATCAGTAATTTTCAGTAAAAGTGAATAGGTAGAGTTAGACTGATAAATTGTATTGCCTATAAAAGCCAAAAATCATTGTGTGCGTTCAATTTTGAGTGAAAAGCATGTATTATTATGATTGTGTGTACTTACATATCAAACTCTATCCTATGTGAGTCTCTATTTCGTTTTATAATGTTTGCAAAACCAATTTCATAAATTCCTATCCAAATTGTTGCTAGCATTCCAAGCACCATCACACCCATTTGTACCGTGTCTGTCCAAACAACTGCTTTTAATCCTCCCTGAAAAAAATTGTTATTTCTATTGTTATTAACTTATTCCATTGCAAATGAATATTAGCAAAAAGCAGTTTGGTTTTATCAATGTTTTATAGTTTTTTAATGTTAAGTGAAATTCATTAACGAATATCCTTTTAATTTTATTTCATTTATTTGCATATTTACTTAACTAAAAAAATTGTAAAAGTGTGCCTGTATAAAATACAATAAAATAATAATACTTACTAATGTTGTATAGAAGATGCATATAACACAAACTAGCGGGGTGATAATATGCAAATTAACACCAGTAACTAAAATTAAAGATTTTAAGATATCACATTGGAAATTTATTATTGTTTAAAATATATTTAACTTAATTAAATACCTTGACTAAAGGCCAATGCAGGGACATAAATGACAATAGGAATATATAACATCTACAATAGATTATTTTTATTAATATAAAAAAATATAACTTTATTAATGAAAAAGTGATTTATAATCAATTTTTACCATTTTGACAATGAATAAACATGAGCCAAGGATTCTGACATTTTGTCCAAACCTCAGTTTTAAGTACTGAAAGTTGAAATTAATTTATTGTTTTCTTGAAATTCCAGTAGCTATAGTAAATTTGTCATTACCTCATAAGAAGATGTTATTTCAAGTTTATAAAATACTGGTATATAAACGAATGCCATCGTTAAGCTTACAAACATTTCTGAAATTATTACCAACCAATACATCGTGCCATATGTGTAAATTTCCGCAGGAATCCCTAGCAATGATATACCTGATATGTAACTGAAAAAAAAAAAATAATATTTAGGCTATTAAAAGATAAATTTAGCGCTCACCTTGCAATCAGTGACATTGATATTGGAAAGACACCCATTGTTTTACTGCCCATCAGGTATTCGGATGGGGTGTTTTGTTTTTTCTCAGCAAAAAACGCAAAGTATATTCCAATAAGTGCAGACACCACAAGCATAAACGCAAATACGAAATAATCTAACAGCTCGAAATAAGCCATTTTGTAAGCTAAAACAAATGATATTTCACTTTAAATAGATAACTATTTTTAAATAAAGAGCTGTTTCATGTGTTGTACACTTGGCTGGAACTGGAATGTTTGCATACGTACTTATAGAAAAATAAAAAATGTAAGAATTGGATAATAATAACTAATTGATTTTACAATATTCATAAGTTCTTAATGGTATTCTGCCTAAAATGTTATGGTAATACATATTAGTTGTATGTAAATATATACATTCTTAATATATTTTCATTATAATAATAAAAATATCCAAATAAATTTAAATAAATTATGTATTTACTCTTTTATTTTAAAAAACCACATAGTACTATTTTTTAACATAAACCAAAAAAATTTAAAATTTTAATAATAATAATAATGTGATTATTATAATATAGTTATAAAAATATAATAATGTTATATATATAAGTGAACGTAGTATGTATGTTAATCATAAAAACAAAAACTATAGAAGACCTTAGCCATGAAAACGCCCTTAAAAATTAATAATAATAATAATAATAATAATATAGAACAGATTTTGATGAAACTTTCACAATTTGTTTTTATTAGAGCCAGGAGGGTTTAGAGACTATAAAATGGTCATGTAACAAATAATAGGCATCAGGATTTACACAAATGAGAAATAACACTTTTTATTATCTCCCTGGGCAACACCAGGTTATAAAGCTATTCTAACTAGATATAAATAAAAAAGGTGTATTATAGCAAATTTTCACTATGTGGGGTCGTCTAAAACGGGGTTGACTGTACTCTACTATTGTATGATTACATTTTGTAAGATGTTCATTTATTATGTATTTCAGTTTGCATTATAATAATCAAATCACATTTTATCAAATATTAATATAATTTTATTAAAATACATAGCTTGATTTTTTCCAGGTCTAAAGGAGACAATGCATATTGGGAGGTGAAAAAAAGGACCAGAGGTGAAGGTGGGAATTGAACTCATGACCATGGGGTCTACGAGATGAGAATCTATCACACTAACCACTCTGCAACCTCGGTCCCACCACAGCACCAGAATGCAATAAAAATGTAAAGAAACTGTACTACATCGTAATTGCAGAGCAACCGACCAATTTAGCAAATTAACTCATATGCTTCAATAATATTCTCCGCCTGTAGTTGTTATTTCCATAATAATTCACTAAGGACCACTTATTCAGTTATCTTTACTAAAAAGGATATGGAAATTTCAAATGGATCCTTATATCATCAGACCCATTTATCAGGGCAAATACTTTTTGAGACCAGAAAACTTTAAGAGTTATAACCATACAATTTTAATTTTTCCTTATTAGTTTATGCGTATTTGTATTTAAAATGTAATATATTACCCTAATTTTATTCAAAATCTAACTTAATCGTAACTATCTCTGAGGTAAGTCATAAAGTTAAAATTATGCAAAATAAATGATAAAATGTAAATATGACAATGTCATTTTTGTTTAAGACATTGGGAAATGCTTAACTATCTAAAGTGATTCTTATATATTTATCTTCTTGTTCTTATTGATTGTTTCTTTAACCTGAAATTACCTGTATAGCCATAAAGAAAATTTAGACTAATAATAATTTGTTTGAAAAAAAATTGCAGATATAATTTGTGTATATGCGAGTTGTTAAAAAATGTCATAAAGAATTTAAGTTCAATTAATGGACTTTTTTATACTTAAACGTATTTTTTTATATTAATATTTAATAAGGAAGTAATAGAAGATATTTGATCATTATAAATACAATATGCAATTAAATATTTGATTTGATATGGCATTCATATTTTATAATGTTATTTATGAAATACATATTAAAAAATTAACTTACTTTTCAATTTATTCTGTAATTGGTTGTTGTTAATGAGACAGTCTAGTTAAACAATTTAGAATTTTATTTGCGGCATAGTCTCGTTTTTATACAATTTATTTGGCCATTCTTCACTTAGCAGTCGTCACAGAGTCCAGACGCAGTCGAGGGCTGGCATGAGACTGAATCAAGAGAACAGAGCAATTTTCATTAAATTCTCTACAATAAGTTGATTTGTCAGTCTATTGTCATGATCTTACAGACTAATAGAAGACATTGCCTCAGCCTGTTATTAAAATTTGTTGAATAATTAAGAACTAGAGGTTTGTGAACTAGTTCACTACTTGTAAAAATTACAGGTGTTTGAATATGAAATTTATTATTTGAAAAGATTGTTTATTTCGTTGTTTTAACTGTAAAAAAATAGTACAACTGTTCTGGGGTATTCCTTGTACAATTTTAAATTTAAATGTTTTCATAAAGGTTTCAGAAGATTTGTTAATTCAAAATTTATTAAACAACAAAAGTTAATTATTTTTTCCTTTACAAATAAATAGGTTTTTATTGTTAAATTGTACAACTTATTAGTTGATAGTATATAGGTAGGGAGCCTAAAACATCTACATCGCACTTTCATACATTTTTTAATTTATTTGTAAATAAATTATTCTTATTTTTAAATTTTTCTTATGTAATGCAAATCCAGATACAACTTTCTCTCTCTTTTTATTTGACTTATTACAATTTCAACAATTTCAATACATAATTTAAATATTACAGCATAAGCAATGTTCATTTTAGCAGAAATGACTGAAAATTATATAGTAAAAATCTTGGGTGGTTTCAAAAACAATTAACTATTAAGATATTACTGGGGTAGAGTTTTAAACTCAATAAAAATTTTCAGCTCTTTTTAATTGTTAAAAGCATGTACACATTAAGAAATTGTGACATTGAAGGCGAACGTCCTTAATATATGGATTGCCAATCCAGTTCAAATAACTTTCTCTCTCAGTGCCCAAGGTTTTGTGACTAAAAATTATATTCTGACATTAAATTTTTAAAAAAACTATTAATTTATAATAATATTGTTTAATCATACTTTGTCTAAAACAATTTTTCATAACTTCTGCAACAAATTATGTCCGCTGATTAAAAAAAAAAGTATGAACTTTGACTTTCTTTCCTTTTCCGCCTTGCTTAAAGTTTAATTATCAAAGGTATTTCATTTTTTTAACCAATGTTACATCATTTAATGCAATCAGTTTCTGCAATTTAAACAATTGCACAACAACATCATATGACAAATTTATCATTTTCAAGTTGTTAGCACTTTGTTTGACAAGGTAAATACCATTTTTGGCAATTTATCTTTGAAAATTGTAATGTTTAAAGGTTTGAAGTCTTTAAAGTATCAGTTTAAACTCTGAGGAATGTCAATACAGATTAGATGACTCATGCCGTAGCATTATCCCTATTTCCTTTTTTTAATTAGAAGAAATAAGAAAAAGAGATTGCTTGATAACATTGGTCAATCATTATCAGTTATAAAACATTATAATTGTAAATACTGTTAAATTAGCCATATGGTATTATCCAATAGGGTATTCATTAATTTTCCTATTGGAAGTTAAAAATTAAGTGCGATTTTTTGATGTAATTACCCCATTTATCCATTTATTTGTCTTATATATCTTGTTATTGCAAACATTTTCAATTTGTACCAAATAATTAATGAATAGAGTATAATTTATTTATTTTTATTCACTCATATTTACTTTCAAAAATTAAAAGAGGATCTAAGCTATAACTTGCAATTTATCTCCTTCAATCAATGTTTTTATTTGCCTAAATTAATATTTTATAATTTAAAATAATCCAATGAATTTTCTTTCTTGTTGAATTGTTAAATATTTTTAATTTCATTGGCTGCAAAATAAAATTGAATATAACTTTTATTTAGAAATCGTGAGATGCGTTCTGGTGTGATGTAGGTTTCAGAAAAACATTTTCTTTATCGTGCTAACGTTTCGAGTTACGTTTCGAAGTATTCAAGTTAAAATAGTGTATGTTTGTCTTGTACTTACGGCCATTAAACATCACAACAAATTTAACGTTTAACGAACTGTGACCATTGCTGTACAGTTTGAAGTTTGATAATTTTCATTAGTTTATGTGTACTTTTTACAAGATTTTTTCACTCTTCTTCTTCTTCTTAACGTTTCGTTTTTGCTGATTTTCTGAGTAAAGTTATTTAAATTATTTTTATTTTTCTATGTGTACTGTCTACAAGGAAAATTTTGGTATAGGTATAAAACACTGAAAAGAAAGCTTGCTTTTTTCTGTTATGGTTTCTCCACATCTCTCTAACTGTCAAAAGTTACAGCATTTATGGTTACATAATAATAACCACAAAAAACTGAACATTATAATATAAATCAATATCAAATCAAATATATTTATTCATACCACATTAACCTTAACGGTACTAATTGTGGTTTTTCACTATTGCAATGTTACCTAATATTCAATACTAACTTATACAAAGTTAAGTATTAACAACAACATTTTTTGTACAATAAAATTTTTGTACTATGAGAAGTGTGCAAAGAAGCACTGAGAAAAGTGCTTAGTTTTGTTGGAAAATTCACATTTTCCATGGTATGAACTAAATTATAGGGTTTCACAATAGATATAGGTTGCAGTTAAGAAAAGATTGGCATATGGATATGGCATATGGACTTTAAACCAAGCCTACATATCATCTCATTTTTTGTAAAGAAATTATTTATCTATCTATTTTTTATAGTTCATACCAAATATATGTTATGATATAGATCATCTGAGTCATTAACACACTACCACTGAAGATGTAGAAATTCCCAAAACACATCTGATGGACAAAACCAGCAAGAATAAGATGATGATTAGAGACAATCAACTGTGTTTCCTTAAATATCTATTTATTTTCTATTTGGTTGCAATAAATATAAGAAATGAAAGTTATTAAAAAACGACAAGAAATATGGATTTATATCAATTTACTGGTAAGTATAGTAATGATAAGCTCAAAAGACTGGCAGAAAGGAAAAATAATGAATTCCACTGCAATTTCTCATAAAAAAATAATTAATATGTATATTTTTTGTAATTAGTCATCTCCGACTGACCAAGTCGTTAACCCACTACTTAATGCCTAAACATATTTGTTGCACAAAACCAAAGTATAGGCTGATCCAGATGATCAGAAAAAATCCAACTGCATGTCCTTGTCAAAATGATTAGCTATTAATTTTTGGCTGCAATAAATATAATAAATAAAAATTATGTATTTAATCAAATTATAAGAAAAATGTGGTGATTTATTTAGAAAAATTTACTGATAAGGATAGTAATAATAAGCTAAAATGACAAACAGAAAGAAAAAACAACTAATTCAACTTTAATTTCTCATAAATATAACACACAAACAGAAAGATAATATAACTAACTCAACTTTAATTTCTCATAAATATAACACATTTCCTTTAAGATATTGTAAATGCAATTTTTTACAACAACAAAAATCAATATCTTTTGTAAATATCTGCAAGATGTGATAATGAAATTGACTTATATAATTATAATTATATTTAAAATGTGAAATTAAAAATTAGTTAAAATTTTAATTTGACATTCTTATCTTCTGATAAGATAACTGTAGAAATATCATTCCAGCTTTGTAGAATGACATGATATAGACTTTAATACAATTTTGCTTCAGTTTTAACAAACCATTATGTAACAAAAATAATTGTTTGGAGAGAATAAAAAAAAGTGAGAGTGTGTTTGTTTCTTTTGTGTTTAGCATGTTCCTTGCAATATTAATACATATATGCATTTAATTAACTGTGTTTTGCATTACATACTTGCATACATATATTGGCTTGTTTTTATTTGATTGGCATAATGAAATTAATATTACATGAATTTATGAAAATCTTTTTTTGAGTCTTCTTCTAATTCTATCTTTTATGGAGGCCAACTTCCTCATGGAGCACTCCCCTCATGGAGCGGCTTCCAACTTTCTTTTCTGACCTCCTCAATTAGTTTCTTTGCGTCCATTTTCCGAAATAAAATTGTACTAAGATTATAAAAAGACAATCAAGAATAAATAGATAAACAAAATATTAAAAAATAAACTCTACACTGCATTACACGATCCATCAAAAACTAAACCAAACTATTCGGGCAAGGTGTGTTATCGGTGTGGAGATGAAGGGACTAGCTGACTCACTTCCATTGTCCTAATCGCTCTCCGTATGATGCTGGACAGATGGCCATCACATGGTGCCGGCTCGGTGCGATCATGTGGGGGTCCGGCCTTAAGTGTGATGTTTCATTTCCTATGTTACCAGAATGCAATTTTATCCACATACATGATACTCCTTCATGAGAAGCCATAGAGTGATTTTTATCTTATAAACTGCCTCAGTAATGTTCCAGTTTCTTTGCAGTGTCGAAATAGATATTTGACTATCTGTCTTTGTGACCACTTGTTTATTCTTGACTGCCTCATCCTGTATCCAATCCATTCTAGAGCTCTATGTATTGCCAATAGTTCCACCTCGTTGTTGGATCACCAGTCGCCTAGTATTTACTGCTTAGTATGGATGAGGGTGCAATTTCGATCATATACCACGAATGCACAACACATGCGAACGTGTGTTTATTACATTAATATTTGAAATAGAGAATATCAGCATTTATTATTCTTAATAGAAGAAAATGACAAAATGGTCACTATTTCTTCCCTTTTCTAATATTTAAATTGACTACCTACTGTCATATTTGATCATAATGTTTGTAAAACATATTTATGAATATTCCTATAAATTCGTTTGGAAATCCAATAATGATTAAAAGAAAGAAACAATTAATCAAATTATATATGCATAACTTTCTGCTGTGATACAGGAATTTTTGCTTTTATGAAACTTCCAAGGAACCGATGCCATCTCAGATAAAACCTCATCGTCCACCAACCCTTCGAAATCGAATTTCGTAAAATATACACATATGTGGACGGTATTAAATATTAATTTCGTTATTTCTATTCAAGGCTCGTTTAATTTTGATTTTATCTGCATTTATTCTGGCCTTGCTTCATTGGCTCCCCACCACGTTGGACCCCCTCCAAGGAAACAGCTTCCAGGCGGACGCCGTCGGCATTCTGCTGCAGCATTCTAGTTTTCTACTTTGGTTGGTATTCAACATAGTTGCGCCTGTTACAGAAAAAAAAAAATCAGGTAATTAAGAGTTCTGACAAATGGTTGCAATGTAACTTGTACATAAGTCATTTTTCACATTAACAACTTTACAAAACAAACGCTTTAAAAAGTTAAAAATCTTGCAATTAGGCAAAAGATCGGTTAGTCGACACTTAGATAATTTATAAAACTTTAAAGTAGAGAAGGTATTCATCAAAATTATTTATTGAAATTTATAATAATTTTATCCTCATTGAAACAATAGTTGTCTAAATACCGTCCGCGTTGGCCAACCGGTATGAATGCATCGAAGGATTACAAATACAATTACAATAGTTTGGTCTCTTGATTTGTGCTCAGTCGTTTTTTGGCCTGTCGGTGTGTTTCGGCTTCTCCTCATCTTCAGTGGTCTCGTTCCTGTTTTGAATTGTAAGATTCCCCCTTGAGATCTGCGAGGCCATGAAATTTTGGAATTTTCCGATCATTTCGGAATGCCTAAAAAGCTGACGATTGCAAGAAGCCGAACGCGTCCGACAGACCAAAATAGCGAAGAACGGAAGAAAAAGCCTAACGTCTAAAAGCCGACCATTTTGCCAATCGGTATGCATACATCGAAGGATTACAAATAGAAAATAATATATAATTTGGTCTCTTGATTTGTGCTGTCTACCCTCGCTTTGGCCTGTCGGCGTGTTTCGGCTTCTTCTCATCTTCAGTGGTCTCTTTCCTGTTTTGAATTTTAAGATTCCCCTTGAGATCTGCGAGGCCATGAAATTTTGGCATTTTCCGATCATTTCGGAATGCCTAAAAAGCTGACGATTGCAAGAAGCCGAACGCGTCCGACAGACCAAAATATCGAAGAACGGAATAAACTGGTAACCCGCACTGATTGACTCCAAGAGAAAATCTCCCAAGAAAGTAATGTACAAAATAAAAAAAAAGAACATGCAAATTGATAATGTTGATTTATCTTTGATAGAAATCAAATTGGTTGAGTATACAATATGACATACTTTTCACATCTTTCAGAAAAAGCCGGGTAAATAGATTATTTATTCAGCCAATTCTGATGAAAAATGAACATATTTAAAGCAGATTTCAGTCAAATCTATCATTAAAAACACTTATGCATTTTCACGATAACTAATATTTTATTTGGTTTCTAAATTTATAATTAATTCATCTTATCTAGTTTTTTAACTATTACCTAATTGCTTTATCTAAAGATTATGTTTGATAAGAATTTTTGTTTATTCTTGTCCTTTCTTTTCTCTTGAATATAAAATTTTACATTCGATGAATATTGTGCTGAAGCCGACGCCGAAACAAGCGGGTGAATGTAAAATAATTGCGGTTTGGCCTTCATTCAAGACGAAATAACGTTTGAGGTATGACAGCCGGCACGCCAATCTTGGCCGATGGTTCATCGTTCTTTTTCCTTTTTCCAATCGTGATGATTCCTCCCGCAGTCTTTACCCCGGCTTTGGCTTTATCTCACAAGGAAATCGTCTCTTCCCCCCGTTGGAGACGAGCAATAAAAATCCTATTTAGCCCGGCAGGAACCGGTTGGCGGTGTGTGAGAGGGCTCGAATATATTTAGTTCGCCGTTGGAGAGAATCGACCTTTTTTTGTTTCAACGGCATGCCGGGGTACACACACACGCACACGCACGCACGAAAATTAATGATAGGGGTATCATCGTGTAAAGTGAGGTACTATTGTGGTCCTTACGACACCGAAAGGCTACATTTTCATCGACAACAAAAAACCTTGGAATAAATTAAAAGCATCCATCGATCAGAAATTCCTTCGTAAGAACATTTTTCATTAAGTATTGACGTAGATACAATTGATAGCATGTGGTCACATTGATTTTAAATCAATGGTATCCATGGTAAAGAGACCTGATGCTACAATTTAACCTGTAATTTCTCTTAAAATGTCGGAACACATTCAAACACTTCTACAAAGTAAACAAAACAATTAAACTATACCTTCAACATTAACAATAATTAATTATTTACTTTTAATACCATTAGATTATTTACACGTGGACCAAACCGTACTAAAATCAATAATATCAGCTTTTATTATATAAAAAATTATTTACCTGTTTATTATAACCCGAAAGGGTTTAAACACAATACGAGTCACATTGTGTGAAAGTAATTTCCTACACGTTCGCATGCTTTTATGCAATGACGAAACACCTATTCTGAATACAATACAACGATCAAGTCTTTACAAACTATAATTAATGATTATAATATTAATATTTTAAAAAAACACGAAACAACCATCCTATCCTCACTATTGTTAGAAACAACAAAGAACGAAGCCAAACGATACTTTTTTTTCTCTTCGGAGGAGGAAATAGCTCTAAAACCTTACTGGATTGTGGAATGATGGGACCAAAAATAAATAACTTTTAAAAATTTTTCCATAGGTGGACAAATAAACAGTAAAACAGGACGCATAAACAGAATTCTTATATTTTAACTAGTCTTGTATTATTTTTTTAAAGTGTCTAAATAATCCATTAGGTTTCGTGGTCCGATTGACCAAATAAATTCTTTTCAATTAATTAATCTTTAAGTAGGTATTGGTTGAAATAAAAAAGTCACGTCGTAGAATTTAATTCCGTATTGAAAATTATACAATTTTTTTCCCATTTGAAAAAAAAAGTTGCTGAGCCTTGGGGAAAAAATTCAGATTCTACGTAAAAAATTAAGACCAGTCCTATTTGTTTTTAGTTATTTCCAAACAAAAGCAATGAAAGGGTGTAGTTCATAAATAATCACCCAGTATACAGGGTATCCCACGGAAGATCCCCCCTTAACTTCCCCAATTTTGGTCCGATTTTGATAAATCTGTTTTGATCATTTTCGGTATGAAGTCTAGTTTTTAGATATTTCCACGGTTAGTAACTTTTTGGCTCATTTTATGACATAAAAAACGCCATACCTAATGTTTTTAAAATGACATTTTTATTTCGGTTTTCATAACTAGATAATAAATTATTCGATTTTTATATACAATTATTGTTATCCTTGTTAATTGTTATTTATTAAATTGGTGGTCTGATTGACCAAATAACTTCTTTCAATTAATTAATCTTTATGTAAGGTTTGGTTGAAATAAAACAGCTAGTGTCACGAGCGGGATTCGAACCCACGACCTATCGTCCCGACAGCTCAAGTGGTAGAGCAGCGGCGTATTTAGCCGATGGTCGTAGGTTCGAATACCGCTCGTGACACTAACTTTTTCATCTCAACCAATACCTTACTTAAAGATTAATTAATGTCTAAATAATGTTAAGAATACAAAGTACATTGTGTGCCTGTTGCAATAGAGCATTTAAAACAAACAAATAAAAGTGAAAAACAAAATACCTATATAGTATTTTGCTCTGGAGAAAACAAAATTGACAGCATGGAGTCAATAAAATTTGAAACTGTGAGATTTCTTCTTGGGATCTGGTTGTGTATAACACAAATATTGCGACCAAGAAAAAAAAATTGTAAAAGCAGTTGAAAAATATTTTAAAACTTAATCCAATAATTCTCCTTATCTTATCGTAAATTCGTTTATCACGGACGTTTTAAAACTTATATTTCCATCGCATTCGATTATTTTAATCTGGCTATCCTCGGTGTTTTGGTCTGTCGGGCGCGTTTCGGCTCGCTGCATCTCAGATGGAAGAAGGCCAACAGATCAAAGCACCATAGGCTGAACAATACGATCGAATACGACCAAAATATGAATTTCAAAATTGCTAGTGCTGGACAGCACAGCTGGGCAGTTAAAGCTACTTTTTTGTTTATTCTTTGCCCTTGTAAAAAAAAATGGTATTTTTGACTGAATATTGTAATATTGATTGGTCACTTTTCTTTGTTGAACGCAAAAAAGTTATTTTGCATCGATTATACATTAAGAAATGTATAATGTCTTATAAACGTTTGTAACGATTTATAATTCTACTATATTCATCGTCATAACCATCATAATCAGTAACCAGTTCGAAATTATCGATTATGCATTAATTTTACGTTACAAGGTTTCTTACTCAAAATGACTGTCGTCAAAAATCGCCTTTTAAGCCAGATTATGAAATACTTTATTCGGAACTGTCGGAATTGTTCCTGCTATTAGCCTCATTTCCGTCTGTTGTGGAATGTAGCATGTCCAGAACGGTCATTATACAACCTTGAAGCACCCTTTTCAGGGCCCTTCACGGAGCCGTTCCCGACCACAAGCCGTTATTCCAATTCACCATGTCGTTATTAACTTGCAATTTCCCATGCAAGACCTTCGAGTTACATAATTCAAATAGGCCTCTTGGTTATATTCCGGATAATTTTATAAACTTATGGGAATATCTAGATTCAAAACTGCAAAATTCTATATCACTTCCAACTTCATTATTTTTTTTTTCAAACAAGGATCAAATTTTGCCAGTACACATCGAATAACGTTTATATAACCCTCATGGTATTTCATTTGTGAGGCTAAATCGATCTTGTTGGTTAAATTTCTGGTGTACGCTATATATCTCAGAGAAAATGTCCGTGTGGGCGTATCTTACCGGGAATCTGTTCCAATAAACATTTCCTTTCTGCTTATATCTTATAATAAATTAATTTATTTATTACGAAATAAATACAATTTCAAACAACAATTTTATCCATATCGCCTTTGATTAAACTGATTAAGATTTCACCAAAGAATTCAAGACATTTTCTCTAAAAAAAATTAAAAGTAAAGTTTAATTGAAAACACGTTTTAACTGAAAGTGAAAGTCATAGTGTACTTTTATTGTTATCTCATTGATGTTTTGTTCAAACACGCTTATCAAATGTTTTATATAAATAATATAATCTACTAAGAGTTATCTTTATTGTGTTGGTTTTTTTTTCTTTCGATAGAGTATATCAAATTTTTGAACAATGGTACGTTTACCGACCTATTGTCCTGTTCTAATTTGAATGTGTACAAAGGTGAAAACGACCATTTTTATGAGGTACGGGTGGTTTTCTCGT